GCTGCTAACATCGAATGTTCTTGCTTTGACAACATATGGAGATGCAGCCATTTTCCTTAACTTGTGTATTACTCTTAGAGTTAGAATTAGATGATAGTGTGGGGGGAGGAAGAATGTGTATGGGAATTAGTTAGACATAACAAGATCGTAGTAGTGTGTGATTCAAGGTTGTTTGAAATAAGAGATGATAAGAAGTGGCAAGGTTGTTTGAAATAAGAGATGATAAGAAGTGGCGGGTTGGAGATGGGGAGGGAAAGTCTGCATTTCAAACTAATTGGAGAATGTGATTTATGACTGTAAATTAGAGGAGGGAATAGTGCTTTGATACTATGTGTTCAGGGGAGGGGAATCCAGATTTTGGCTTCGACTATGTACGTGCCGATGCTATGACACTCGAATAAAGATTCTTTAAGGCAGTGATGGCGAACCTTTTAGACACCGAGTGCCCAAAAACTGCCCCACCCCGCCCCACCCCTGCTCCATCACTGCCCCATCCCCACCCACCCACAGGGCCACCCGCCATCTCCACGGCCTGCCGCAGATCGCCCAGGCAGCCCAGTAGTGCCATAGCGGCCACGCCCTCCACCCATGCCCTGCAGCATCATCTGTTTGTGACAGGGTGCAAGGAGTCTTGTCCCCACTGCTCGACTGCCATGTCCTTGGCTGCACTGCTCCAGGCGGGCTGTGCCTGGGGGCAACTCTCCTCTGGGGGAGGCTTCTGGTGTGGAGGGGGCCATGGGGGGAGGCAGGGCTGGGGCGACAGCATGTGTGCCCACAGAGAGGGCTCCGAGTACCGCCTCTGGCACTCATGCCATAGGTTCGCCACCACTGCTTTAAGGTAAACAATGCCTCGAGGTTCTTTGAAGAGTTTCATCAGTCGGAACCATGACGCTGTATTTATGATGGTTGCAGTGTCCCAGAGTCAAATGCTCAACCATCTGCAACCTTCTGACAAGCAAAGTCAATGAGAAAGCCAGATCCATTTAACAATCATGTTTCTAACTGAACAACTGCGGTGATTCATTTAACCACTGTGGCCAAAAAGGTCATAAAATAAGGCAAAACTCAAATAACGACAGAAAATTTGGGCTCAATTGTGGGTTGTATGTTGAGGATCGCCTGTATCTTATCCACTTGTCTCTGAAAAACCTTTTTAGACCCTTTTGCTAGATGGTTGATCAATGTTATATGGCGTGTTGTACTTGCCAAATGCAAATTGCTATCAGGAAACAAGTCTTAGCCCACACAAATTATAATTTAAGATCTGGCACAGAAAAACAAGGAAGAAAATAGAAACTGGACCAATGTAAAAAAAAAACCCACAACACTTCCTTGTTTTGAGACCTGGTTACTGATTTTGTGAGACTGGGACCTGGGAGTGATGAAACTGTGACCAGGTTTTAGGAGGGTGTGTTTTGAAGAAAGATGCTTTGTGTCATGGTTCCGAAAGAAATAACTTTTCAAAGAACTTTGAGGCTTAATTACCTTAAAGAATCCTTTAATAGATTACATGATTCGGCACGAACAGAGGAACCCCAATGTCCTCATTGTTAGGAAGTTTCTCCTTAATTCCAGGTTGCTTCTCTCCTTGATTAGCTTCCATCTCTTTGTTTCTTGTCCTGCCTTCTGGTGCCTTGGAGAATAATTTGATCCCCTCTTCTTTGTGGCAGCCCCTCAAATAAAGGAATACTGCTACAATGTCGCCTGTTTGCAATGTCCCATGGTCACATGACATTTTACAACGTTTTTGACAAAAACCAGCATTTACTTCTGGCTATCAGCAAAACCAGTCCATAGTGAACAACCGGTTCCCTCAACAACTGCAGTGGTTGTTTTATGAGCAGTGTTCACTGAACAACTGCCACAAAAAAAATGGTTGCAAAATTGAGTTGGGGATGTCAATGACCTGCTTTATAACTGTCATGACTTACAACTGTGGTGCACAGGCTATATGTTGAATTGAAGACTACCTGTAGTCTGGTGTACCTTGTTGAGTGACCCAACCTTAGAAATAGGTCTATTGTCCTATTAAGATATTAGTAATTTATAATGTAATAGCAGGATTAATTGCCAGTGTTGCTCACAGCAGGCGTAGGAAAAACTAATAAGAATTGGGACCATGGTATTAAATTATTGTATGGGAGCCAACCATCTTTCTCCACCTGCTATTTTAATTAATCATGATTAATCAAACTTTCTACTCTGACATTTTCTATCAAGGAGGGAAGCAGAATCAACAAAAACATGTGCCTTACGCAATAAAGGAACACTCCACTGAATAGCAAAAAGCACTTTTATTCCTTCCATATTGCAGAGCATTTTCTTGTTTTCTAACAGACAATTGAGCGATTTAACTGACAGTGTGAGGGCTTTTTGTTTTTCAAAAGGTAATCTTAAAATCAGTCGATCACACCTTCCAACTCTGCCCCCAACTATTGACCAAGAAAGTGACTTCTGCCTCTGCTTTTCTGCTGGGTGAATATCTTTTTGTAGATATGCTCCATAGCCATTAAGAGAAGAGTGGCAAAATTACCTCAGAGAAATTTTGACACCGATCAAAGGCGTATTACTGTGAGTGCCTGATAGGTTGGGCTGTAAGGAGAATCTGGGGGTCCTGCTTGCGTACCAGATGCTTTCCTGCATGACAGGATAGCCTCTTAAATGTTATCACTGGATGAAAGTATTTTATCTAGAAACCATCTGTCTCTTTACTTGGCTTATTGACCACGGGTGTCAAACTCGATCCTGTCACGTGACATATTGCGACATTTTTTGCCTTTGCGGAGCTGGGGTGGGCATGGCCTGTGCATGACGCATCCAGCCTGCGGGCCGCCATTTTGACATCCCTACTGTAGACAAAGCAGGATGCCCCCTAAGGAACCACTCCATCATTTTGATGTCTGTCTACACTTACAGCTACTGCTAGATAGGTCGACGGAAGCCAAGACTGGCGGGACCTTTCCCAATAGCAAGTGCCAGTTGTGGACCTACCTGTAGCAGAAAACCTTAGCATCAGTACCTATGTCCTATCACCACTAGCTTCACCTGCACTAGGCTAACTCTGCCGACTGCCAGCAGTTCGATCCTGACCGGCTCAAGGTTGACTCAGCCTTCCATCCTTCTGAGGTTGGTAAAATGTGGATCCAGATTGTTGGGGGCAGTAGGCTGACTCTGTAAACCCCTCAGAGAAGGCTGTAAAAAGCGCCGTGAAGTGGTTTATATGTCTAAGTGCTATTGCTACTGAACCCATGCAGGGCAGCATCCATGAAAAATGCAATTGGTGCATAATGTAGCTAGCAACCCATTGGCAGGTAAGAACCACTGGTACCTTATACTATCTGTGTCGCAGGTGCTACATTGGTTGCATATAATTCAAAGTGCTGGTCATCACTTGCTCGTGTTTGGGTGAAAAGCACCGAGACGCTTTCGGATTGAAAGGTATTAGCCAGTGACTTCACCATTGCCCAGGGGACTCCTTTCATGTCCCTGTTAATGTGCCCACCAAAGTGGAACCTATTTATCCACTCGCAATTACTTGCTTTCCAATTGCTAGGTCGGCAGGAGCTGGAGTGATTGACGGGAGCTCACCCTGTTAGGCAGCAGTAGTCAGGTCTTGAACGTGGGCTCATCATGCAGTGTCCTGACTATGTGAACCACTGTACTCTTGGTCATCATTTATAAACCCTCAAGTCCCAAAGGCCCTTTTCCTAAAGGCAACTGGATTCTGTTTTTACTTGAAGACATTTCACTTCTTGTCCAGGAAGCTTCCTCAGTTCTGACTGAATGGTGGAGGATGGGTTTATATTCCTTGTAGCCATCTGGGTAGCACTTTTTCTGAGGGTCACTGAGGCCACTTGGGGGTTTAACTATGCCTTTACAGTCACCTGAATGATGCAAATGGGCGTGGAGCCTTCTTGGAACTGCTGAACTGTGTTGTAAACAGGAGATGGGTGGTGTCATATCCCTCTCCCTTCTGTTGAGAGAAGGTTATTCAATCTTAATGTAGATGGCCTCTTTGATTTCTCTTTCAAACCAGCGGTCCTCTTTGTCCAGAATGTGGGCTTGGCTGTCTTCAAGTGACCTTTATTTTTCAAATGCAGATGGACATCACATGTCTATGTGTTTTATCCTTGGGGTGGACAAGCTTCTGCCTTAGTATATTTTTGAGTTTCAAGTGTGTATGAATATTGTGTTGGTTGGCACCTATACGAAGCTGGCACCTAGATAGCTTCAGGGCAGTTAGGTTCAGGATAGCCTGACCCGAAGAGAAGTGATTTATCCAATGCTGACATCCAGATATAGGCTACTCAGAGTCCTTTCCTCCCCTTGGAAAATAATAACGGTCCCAGTTTTGTGTGTAACCCCTTGGGAAAATTAATTGCCCACCCCTGATTTACACTGTTCTATGGGAAAGATCATTATGGGCTTTGAGTGCAATTCTAGTGGAACTCCGATGGTGCTATATTTGATGGTTGTAAGAATTTGTAAACTGCCCAGAGTCCATGCGGAATTGGTGGTACAGAAATGTCATAATAAATAAACATACCTTTATTAACTCATTGAATGTTCTTTTGATTAAACTATGCCCTGTTAAGTCTCAGCTCTGGGAAGTGGGGGAGGGAGAGGGGGGGATTAGGGTGGGTAGGTTTTGGGGTTTATATTGTAATTTTTATAAAACTTTTCAATAAAAAAAAAAGAACATTTCACTTTCTGTAGCCTGGTGGACTCGTCTCTTGCTTAATTTATTGTTTGTGCAGATGGATCATTCTTTCTTATCTGCTTCTAGAGCACTCTGCTGGTAGGGCTCTGTGTATCTCCTTATAACCTTAAAGAATAAAAAAAGCAGTTTTATTCTGCTTCTAGAGCAGGGGCAGGCAACCTTGGCTCTTTTATGACTCGTGGACTTCAACTCCCAAAATTCCTGAGCCAGCATGGCTGGCTCAGGAATTCTGGGTGTTGAAGTCCACGAGTCATAAAAGAGCCAAGGTTGCCTACCCCTGTTCTAGAGACTGGCCCTCTTGTCCACGCCCAAAACTCCAAATGTCCTTCCTATCTCAAAACGACAATGGAAGAGTTCTGTTACCAACTACCATTTCAATGGCTTGCGAGCCTGTTCTTTTTCTGTTTTCAGATAATCATCATAGAGTTCTCTCAGATGCACCAACAGTTCCTCCAGATTTTCTCCTGTCAGAGCAGAGAGTGGTATGACCCTCTCCTTCACTTTCTCCTTGAGGAGAGGCAAATGGTTCTTGGATTCTGGGAGATCCAACTTATTTGCAACAATGGCATGAGGAACCTTTGACAAGCCAACTTTATACTGTTCCAGTTCATACTTCAAGGCTTCCAAATGAGCCCAGGGCTCAGCCACAGAGAGATCCAACACGAAGAGAAGGAAACAGCAGCGTTCGATATGTCTCAGAAAGGCCAGGCCAAGTCCTCGGTCTTCGTGGGCTCCTTTTATTATTCCAGGGATATCTACAACTGCAAAATAAGACAAAACAGAGTGCAGGTAGTCCTCTCAACTTACAACAGTTCATTTATTGACCGTTCAAAGTTACAATGGCACTGAAAAGAGACTTATGGCAGTTTTTCTCAGATGCTATATTTTTTCTATCCTGCTCTATGGAGTAGAGAGTTGGTCTCTGACAGAAGGCCACCTGAAGAGACTAGAAGCATTTGAAATGTGGATTTACAGGCGGCTGTTACGTATAAGCTGGGTTGACAAGATCAGAAATGAGGAGGTGATCAGCCGCCTGGGAAAGCCAAGGGAAATCATCAAAATAGTTAAAAAATGAAAGTTAGAATATTTTGGACATGTGATGCGACACCCAGAAAAATACGGCATACTCCATTTAATCCTCCAGGGAAAGATGGAAGGCAAACGAGGTCCAGGCAGAAGAAGAACATTGTGGCTTCAAAATCTAAGGCAGGGCTTTTCAACCTTTTCATCCATTGTACCACTTTTAGGATATGGCAATATCTGAGTACCACCAGTCGCCTAGCAAGGTGTCAAAAACTTGATGACCAAAAAAAAGAGAGGAAAAAAGTGATAAACTACAGGTAGTCCTCGACTTACAACAGTTCGCTTAGTGACTGTCCGAAGTTACAATGGCACTGAGAAAAGTGCCCCCCAAGCCACAGCCGAGCAAGACACCTGCCTGCCTGCGCGGCCACGCTCTTCCTCCTGTCCGAGGTTTTCATTGTTGTGAGCATTTCTGTTGAGGATTGGCAGCGGGGGTGGGGTGGGGGGGGGTGTTTGGTTTTTATTCCCCCTGTCTGCTGGGTGGTTGCAGCAGGTTTTGGTCACTTCACATGACCCTGGGACTCTGTGACCGTCATAAATATGAATCAGTTGCCAAGCATCTGAATGTAAATCACAAGAGCCTGGAGATGCTGCAACATTCCAGCTGATCGGCGCTTCTTCTGGGCTCAGCAGAAACGCCAGGATCAGCGCTGAGCTCCAGCTGGAGCCTGGCGCTGATCCTGGAGCTTCCACTGAGCCCTGACAGCCCTGCAGCTCCAGCCGTCTCTCGCTCAGGCTTGTGCGATGCTGCCACTGGTTCAGCTCATTCCCCTCCCCCGCTACCACTTTTCTAGGATGGTTGCGTACCACCTGCCAGGTGCCAATGTACCACAGGTGGTACCCGTACCACTGGTTGAAAAGCCCTGATCTAAGGGACTGGTTTGGACAAAACTCAGCAGCACTTTTTCGTGCAGCTGCTGATAAAAACAGGATCGCCAACGTCCGATAACAGATATGGCACAAGAAGAAGAAGGCGGCAGTTTTTCACACTTATGACCACTGCAGCATCTTCATGGCCGCGTGATCAAAATTCAGATGCTTGGCAACTGGTTCATATTTATGACCGTTGCAATGTCTCGGGGTTATGTGATCAGCTTTTGCGACCATCTGACAAGCAAAGTCTATGGGGAAGCCAGGTTCACTTAACAACCGTGCTACTAACTTAAAGCCTGCAGCGATTCATCTCACAACGGGCAAAAAAGGTCATAAAATGGGGCAAACTCACTTAGCAACATAACGTTTGGGCTCGATGGTGGTCATAACTCAAGGAAATCTGTAACACAATCAGTTACAGTCTGGTTGTTGGAGAATGATAGAAAAAAGGAAATTGCCTGGGGTGGGAGGAAAAAAACCAGCATTTGGATTCCTAGAGGAGTTTTCCAGGCCATGGAATCAGAAAAAGGAAAAGAAAAAGAAGGGGGAGGGAGAGAAGAAGGAAAAGGGAATAATAATAATAATGATAATAAGATGAAGGAGAAGGAGAAGAAGAAGGAGGAGGAGGAGGAGGAGGAGGAGGAGATTATTCCCAAAATTATTGACCAAGAGTCAAAACTGTAATGATGGAAAATTGTCTATGTATGCTTGAACATTTTTCCTTTAGCCTCCTAACCCATCAGTTTTCCAAAACTCTAGAACAGTGGTGGCGAACCTATGGCACGGGTGCCAGAGGTGGCACTCAGAGCCCTCTCTGTGGGCACGCGCACCGTCGCTCCAGTCCTAGGCCTTCAGCTGGGTTTTATAAAACCTTTTCGCTTTAGGCCTCTGCCGCTGTGTGCAAAAAAAAGAGAAAAGGTTCAATCAGTCAATTTCAACTTCTCGCGGGAAAAAAGAGATCTTGCAAAGTTGGAATTGATTGATTGAACTTTTTAGTCCCACCCAGTCTGCCGTTACCACAGCAGCCACGCCCATCCAATTGGCCATGCCCACCCAATTGGCCACGCCCAGCCAATGGGCCACACCCACCCGGCACTCGACGATGCATAAGTGGGTTTTGGGTTGCAGTTTGGGTACTCAGTCTCTAAAAGGTTCGCCATCACTGCTCTAGAATTCCATAGAACATTGCTTGAAATCCTAGAAAAATGTGAGGCAGCTGGATACCCTTGATTAGTTTGCAGTTGACATACAAGGAGACAATCAAAACACTTTCAATTTTTTTTTCAAGTTGGTTCATGTTTTTCAAGCCTTGGTTCGTGAAAAAGGGTAATCTGCAGTTAAGCTTTCTTTCTCCCGTTTAGTACAAACTTCAACACGATATCGCTGTCGCAAAATGCTTTTATTTTTTTCCCCAAAAGGAAATAAAACCATGAAGGTCATTAAAAAAAGAAGAAGAAGGAAATATAAAAGCGTACCTGCAATCTGCTCGTAGTCTTCGTAGTGAACAATGCCTACGTGAGGATTCAGGGTTGTGAATGGGTAGGGAGCCACAGCGGGTTTTGCCCTGGAGATTGCTCGCAAGAGGGAAGATTTCCCAGCATTGGGGAATCCTATCTGGAATAGAAAGCCCAAACTGAAACGGAGATAGCTTTGGCCTTCAAGCTTACATTTAATTCTACTGGCAAGATGGAACGTGTATATAGCAAATTTCGTATTTTTTTCTTGTTTAAACTAGATTTGATTCAGTGGTGGCGAACTTATGGCACGGGTGCCAGAGGCGGCACTCAGAGCCCTCTCTGTGGGCCCGCGCGCCGTCGCCCCAGTCCTAGGCCTTCAGCTGGGCTTTATAAAACCTTTTCGCTTTAGGCCTCTGCTGCTGTGTGCAAAAAAAAAAAAAAAAAAAGGTCAATCAGTCAATTTCAGCTTTTCGCAGGAAAAAAAAGATCTTGCAAAGTTGGAATTGATTGAACTTTTTAGTCCCACTTTTTAGTTACCACCGCAGCCACGCCCACCCAATGGGCCACACCCACCCGGCACTCGACGATGCATAAGTGGGTTTTGGGATGCAGTTTAGGCACTCAGTCTCTAAAGGTTCGCCATCACTGATCTAATTAATCTAGGTGAACTATGTTAAGTTCAGTCAATACATTGAAATAAATACAAATTTTAGAAGTTTCATCCCTTCAGCCATCTGTGCTACAGACTGGAAAAAAATAGCACAGGTAGTCATCAATTAACAATTCACAACCATTCTTTTAGTGATCATTCGAAGTTACAGCAACACTTGAAAAAAAATGACTTTATGACCGGTTTTTATACTTATGATCCTTGCAGTATCCCCATGGTCACATGATCAAAATTCAGGGGCTTGGCAACTGGAATGTATTTATGAAGGCTGCCGTGTCCTGGGATCACGTGATCACCATCTATAACTTTCCCAGCCAGCTTCTGACAAGCAAAGTGAATGGGGGAAGCCAGACTCGCTTAACAGTCACATAATTCACTTAACAACTGTGGCAAAAACGCTTGTAAAATGGGGTACAACTTAATTACTTTTCTTTAGCAGCAGAAAGCTTTGTCTCAATTGTGGTCATAAGTCAAGGACTACCTGTAATGGCAAAAGAAGGCAATGCCACCCCATCTTCCCACTCCCAAGTTATCAGCTGTTGTTAGTCCGATCAACCAACTCTAAGCCAGGGGTAGTCAACCTTGGCTCTTTTATGACTCGTGGACTTCAACTCCCAGAATTCCTGAGCCAGCTAAGCTGGCTCAGGAATTCTGGGATTTGAAGTCCACGAGTCATAAAAGAGCCAAGGTTGACTACCCCTGCTCTAAGCCAAGAATTTTAAGCAATACTCAACAAGCAGATGAATTATGGGTCATCAGGTTTTTGTCAATTCTATTCCAAGAAGTGCATTTTTTAAACCTCCCATGTTCCAACATTCCTGGACTGAACGTGAAGGTTTGTTTCTTCAACATTAAATATCATATTGAAAAACAAACAGGCACACTTACCATCCCTGCATGGGCCACAGTTTTGAGCTCCAAGTGAAGGAATCTTTCTTGACCCAGATCTCCTAAAGTGACAGTTGTTGGTGCTCGATTGTCATTCGCCAGAAAGAAACGGTTGCCCTTGCCCCCGGTTCCACCATAGGCTGCAACGTATTCTTCCCCGTGATGGTTGAGGTCCGCTACGACGTTGGGGCCTTCCTTAATTATGGTACCAAGAGGCACCTACGAAATAAATATAAATTTAGGTAAAATACAGCTAAGGATTTACAATCCTTGGCTGTTTGTTCCTACTGGTGAGCAAATAGTTGCTCAGCAGTCTTCCAACGTGGGACATTAGCCATTCAGCCTTTAAAAACCCAACATTTTGACCATCTAAAAAGAAGCATCAACAACATACCTTAATATACAGGTGCCTGCCAGCTGATCCATAGCAGTTTTTGCTTCCCCCCTTTTCCCCACTGAAGCCTCTATAAAATGGGTAGAGGCAAGCCAAGGATTTGACTTGCCGATCCCCTGTAAAAATAAAATATATTACAATTCAACATGCTAAAGATGATTTTTTTAAAAAAGAAAATAACTGTGTTGACTAATTATGAATCAACAAACTGTTTCCTGGATAAGAGCACATCACAAATGCCAAACCTTATATTTTTATTTTATACCAAATGCTGATTATACCATCTGTTCCTTACCTTCTGATATAGGAGCTGTTCTTTTGCTTAAAGGACAAAAGTGCTCATATAAACTTTTGCAAAGATAATCTTAGGATCAACAACTTCAAAATATTAAATGGAGATATTAAATATCACATGGAGAGAAGTAAGCAGTGGGGTACCACAAGGCTTTGTCTTAGGCCCAGTACTCTTCAATATCTTCATAAATGACTTAGATGTGGGAATAGAAGGGGAACTCATCAAATTTGCAGATGACACTAAACTGGCAGGAATAGCCAACACCCCAGAAGACAAGCTCAGGATCCAAAAAGATCTTCCAACAAAATGAACTTTAATGTGGAGAAAAGCAAAGTTTTACATTTAGGCAGGAAAATATAAGTACAGAATAGGCGAGACCTGGCTCAAAAACAGTAACTGTGAGAGGGACCTTGGATTCCTAGTGGATGATCACTTGAATATGAGTCAGCATTCTTCCAATTTTACGCGGGAGAAAACCCGAATAACCAAAGACCTACATGCTATGGGGGGCGCTATGACCGTAGACCCTTGCAGCCACACACCGGGAGCGCAACCTCGCACGTGGGGAGCGTGGGAGGTGAGGTATAAGAACGAGGACGGGTTAACACGGCGATCCGGACCCCCACCGCACCCGACCCACCCGCCGTGCCCAAAAGGGGCTTCCCTGCTGGGAGGCGTATGGAAGAAAGGTAGCCCAGGACTCCCTCGACTGGAGGTGGCTGTGTGTGCCCAAGAGTTGTCGCAGGATGAGATGGAGGATAGGAGGGCGACTCTGGAGTTGCCAGCCAGGTGTGCCCGAGAGTTGTCGCAGGATGAGATGGAGGATAGGAGGGCGACTCTGGAGTTGCGAGCCAGATGGAGCCGGATGGGAGAAAACAACAAGGGAGATCGTCCGGACGAGGCGTGGAAGCTCCCACCCCCGCACGCACTTAGCATCGGCGAAATGGAGGGTGGGGACGTGACTGCTGGGTTACAGCCCGAGCCGGATTGGATGGGGGTGAACAAGGAGCAGAAGAGGAGACAACTAGATGGCACTTGTGTGCCAGGTGAGGCTAAGCGCCCTCACGGTGCACGGACACGGAGGAATGGGGGTGTGAGGGTCAATGCAAGGATAGTTAATGAGAGTGATGAGGGGCATACATTGATTGGTTATCCAGGACCCGTCACGAGATCTAGGGCCCGGGCGCAGGCGTTGGCTGGCCTATAAATGGTTTCTCCCATTGAGTTATTCTTTACCCTGACGATGTTGGTAGGATCCAACGAAAGCTAGGTCCTTTTTAATATTCTTTTAAAGGTTT